CTCCCTCTCCCTCTCCCTCTCTCCCTCTCTCCCTCTCTTCTCGAGACAGAGTCAGACAATGCAGTTCATACTGGCCTTGAGCTCACTTTGTAGCCCAGGCTAGTCTCAAATGTGCAACAATCCTCCTTCCTCAGCCTCCCAAGTGCTGGATTACAGGCATGTACCACCAAGCCCAGTTTATAGTTCTCTTTCTTAGTTGGGTTCTTTGGTTTTGGTGTCAGAGTAATTCTTGCTTCCTGGAATAAATTTGGAAGTATTGCTTCCCTTTCAATTTCATTAAAGAGTTTGAAAAGTATTGGTATTAGGTCTTCTCAAGTTTTTAATTCATCAGGGCCTGAGCTTTTCTGTGTTGGTAGGTTTTTAATTAGATCATTGATTGTGGTTCACTGAGTTGTAGTCCTTGTTATCTCTTTCTACAATTCCTTCAGAACATTTTGGAGTGCTGGTTTAGTCTTCATGAATTTCCTTGAGTGTTGTTTGCAATGGAAGCATCTTATTTCTCCATCAATTCTGAAAGACAATTTTGAAGGGTACCTCAATCTGGGTTGAAGGCTGTTTTCTTTTAGGGCTTGATATACTTCCCTCCAAACTCTCCTTGGCTTCAGGGTTTGTATTGAGAAGTCAGCTGTATTGAAAGGAAAGCTGATGGGCTTTCCTTTACAGTTGATTTGTCTCTTTTCTCCAACAGCTCCTAATATTCTATCCTTGTGTTGAATTCCTGGAATCTTGACTATGATGTGCCTTGGTGTAGGTTTTTTCATGGTTAATTGGAGTTCTATGTGCCTCACCAATTTGTATGTCAAATTCTTTTATTCCTGCCAGAGAAGTTTCCTGCTGCGAGATATGTGAGTAGGTTTTTCTATACTACATTTTCATGGCCTCCAGTCAATCTCATGTTGTTCTTGCTTGCATCTTTCAGGTTCTGGATTGATTTCTCATGGCCCCTTGCTATTTTTAAGAAATTGTTCATGATCACTAACCACAAGTCTGTCTTCTAGATCTGAGATTCCGTCCTCACATTTCCTCATTCTGCTTCTGCTATGGATACTCATGACGGAATTTTTAGTTTCCTGGGTATCTGCTTGAATCTGTTCCATTTTTTCCCATGTTGCACATTCATGGTTTCCATCATTTTCCTAATATTCTCTATTTTTTAAATCTATATCTGCCTAGAGTCACTAAACATGTTTTTTCATTGTGGTCCTTATCTCTGTAGTTATCTGAAAAATTATTTCTGCTTTGATTTTTTTTTCTAAAACCTCATTCATTTGCTTTGTAGTTACTACCTCAGAGAGGTCAGATGGGTGGCTTTTGTATTGTCCTACCTCATTACCCCTTAGGTTTGCCTTTGGTGAGCTGGAAGTCTGGTGTTGCATCTTCTTTAAGTGTTTTCTCATTTTCTTTCTTTTTTTTTTAGTTTAACTCTTATGTTGATGCTTGTAAACTGCCTATGGTGAGTTGTTTCATGGCTAGTATTTAGAACCCTGAGGAAATGAGAACTCCTCAGAGGTGTCTTCTGGGTGTAGCCGATTTCTGGCCATGAGGCCTGCAGCCCTGTAGCCACCAGTGCACCTTCTGTTGGTTTGAACTCAGTTGGGAGT